GACGAGCTGAATAGTGATCCAACCAAAGAGATAATTATAGAAGAAATGATAGATGCAACCAAAGATCTCACTCTCGAAGTTGTGACAGAACTTACTATCAAAATTCTTCTAGAGAAAGAGAAAACTCTAGAAAAAGAAGCAGATACTCAGACTCCTATAATAGTGATAGAAGAAGAACTAGTTTTCATTCACCCTCCCTCTACTATAGATATGTTAACTATCTTGGCCATAAAAATTCTTCCCCTACTCCTCCTGTTACAACACCAAAGAAATAGAAACAATTCCTTGACAACTCTTCTATTCATACAGCTATGTCAGCATATCTGTATGAAGAAGCTAAAAATGCTAACCTAGTCCAATCTTCTACTTATACTACCTCTGTAAAATACAATATCTGACTTAGAAACAAACCCTACCAAGCTATCATCGATAGTAGTGCTGCTATTAGCATGATTGCTCATCAAACTATTAAAGAATTAGGACTCAAAATTGAACAAACCTCTACTAGCCTAATCGTCATAGCAACTGGTACTTCTACATGTTCTCTAGGAATTATCAAAAACCTTCCTGTAGAAATTGAAAGAATGACTATTCCAATTACTGTTGAAGTTGTTCTTGCTACCTCTTACTCCCTTCTTCTTGGTAATGACTGGTCCAAGAAAGTTGGTGCAAGTTACAACTGGAAGAATGGCTGTTATTCATTCAAGTAGAATAACAAAAAGGTCTCAGTCCCAATAACCTATAAAAGTGATCATGCTTTATCTGCCCAACCAATAATAACAGATCCAAAAGAGTTTGACCTCTATGAGCAAGAATTTCTACCTCCTTATGAAGCATATACTCTCAACTTATCTCGGAAACAAACAATGAAGGATGGACTATTTACCAATCTTGACAACGAACCCAAACTACTTTATCTTGTATATGTGGCAACTGTAAATTCTCTAACCACCTTTTTGCTGATTGCTCTCAAAATACTTGCAACTGATATTATCATAAAAGACATATTGCTGTCCACTGTCAACTACAAGCTTCTCAAAGAGAAACTTGCAAGAATTGCCAAAGTTCTAAACACCTCTATCAACAATGCCCAGAAAATATTTGTCATGAATGCAACTCAATAGGACACATTGCCATTGATTGTTCCTTAGCTCCTCTCAAAAACCAGAATCAGACCTACCAATGTGGATACAACCTTAATGAAATTGAAGCTTAAAGACAATACTATTATAGCAATCATCACACCTACTATTGCTGTTATTGTAAGAACCCCCAAAGGCCAGAAACCCTACAAGAATTAAATAAGGTTCTTGTTTGTAAAAGTTGCTATACTGACTTTCATCAAAGTCTTGATCATGATGATCCTAGAAGCCAGTACTATTATACTGAAGATGATGGATGTGGAACCTTGGTTGAATGTAAATTATGCAAACATGTTGAACCAAGAAACAGGATGCATAATTTAGAAAGTATTACAGAAGAACTATGATTTTGTAAACTTGAACACTTATATGCTTACAAAGCCAGTACAGATGTTCTCTACAACTCTAACTAAAACCTATAGACCTGAATTAGACACTATACTAAGTCAACCAGAAGTGCTGGATCTCAGTATGAAATAAACCAGACTCACATCTTCCATCTTGCCAAAGTCTATTTGCAAGAAACTGAGCTTACTATCACTGAAGCATTGGAACCTTAAACAAATGACCAAATCAATCAACCATGAACCTATGAAGAAATGGATCTTATCCTATGAGCTGAACAAGCTGTCCTTAATGAAGAAGAAGAGCAACTCCTTCAACAAACTTTGGCTGAGTTTTTTGATATTAGCCATCCAGAATTTGACTATCAGCTTGCTATAGCTAACCTTCGCTGACAGTTTAGTGCTTTTGTTGACCTTTGTAAGGAATGCTTACATGTTAAGCATCAAGATGAATTAGACATCTATCAAGAATATTGCCAGGACTGTGCTCTTCCACTAGTCCCTATCTATAAACTCCTACATCAGAACTAGTAGATCCTTTGCCTAATACAACTTCACCAAAACCAGACCCATTGCAACCACAAGTTGCACAACTACAACAACAAGTAGAAACCCAAAACCAACTTATTCTACAACTCCAACAGAAGGTAGAATAGTTAAAAAAATTCACTCAGACCCTCCTACAAGTATTCTAACAAGATGCTCAAACCACTCAACAACGATATACTTCTCTTGCTCAGAAATAGGAAAAGTCAAATTTTTAGATTATCTCAGGCATGATGAAAAACTATCTGTTGAACCAGACAATGTGCATAAAGTTTTTACAATAGACACTATAATCCTCTATAAAGAATATAGTGTTAGTCCAGAACCATCTAAATTGAACATTGGACCTCTAGATGCTAAACAAGAAAAACAATTTAGCCAACTGCTAATGAAGTTCTTAAATCTTTTTGCACAAGATACAACAGAATTAGAACACACTGACTTTGTAACTCATTGAATCTATACAGGAGAAAAACCTCTTATTTGATCTTGACCTTATTCTTCTTCTTCTACAGAACAGATATTTATTAAAGATGAAATTCAACAAATGCTCGATAGTGGACTTATTTGACTCTCCTCTAGTTCCTGGATCTTGCCAGTAGTATTAGTTCGAAAGAAAAATGACAAATTATGATTCTGTGTTAACTATCGTAAACTTAATAGTATTACTAAGAAAGATGTCTATCCTTACTTCGCATTGATGAAATGCTTAACACCCTAAAAGGATCCAAGTAGTTCTCTACACTTGACCTCACAAGTGGATATTGGCAAGTTGCTATGCACTTTACAGATAGAGAGAAGACTGCCTTCATGACTTGATATAGTATTTACAAGTTTAATATAATGCCCTTTGAACTATGTAATGCACCTGTGACCTTTTAATGATTAATGGATAGAGTATACCAAGACATTGCATAGAAATTTGTAGTAATCTACCTTGATGATACTATAGTATACTCCAAGACCTTTGATGAATATTTAGAACATTTACAAGAAACTTTTATTAGAATTAGAAAAGCTAGTTTATGATTAAATTTAGAAAAATGTAATTTTTGGATGCAAAGTTTATCATTTTTAGAACATATAGTTATCTCAATTGGAATAGCACCTGACCCTCAAAAGATAGAAGCTGTCCAGAGGATCTAACCACCTAATAATGTATTCCAACTATGTTCATTCTTAGGACTAGTAGGTTACTATTGACAGTTTATTCATAACTTCTCTAAAGTAGCACAGCCTTTAAATCAGCTACTATATAAAAAAACTCTTTATATATAAAATAAACCACAACAGAAAGCTTTTAAAGAATTGAAACAGAGACTTACTACAGCCCCTATATTAAAGTATTCTGACTTCAATAAATTATTCATTTTAGCTACTGATGTCTCTTATCATGGATTCAGAGCTACTCTTAGTCAATTAGATAGAAATACCCTGTAGCCAGGGTTGGCAATAGACTATGTCCAGTAAAAATAATTATTCAATAGACATTAATGGACCAATGGATATATGCCTATTAATCCATTGTTCCATTAGTCCATTAATCTTTTGATAATATAACATATATTATAACTAGCACATGATCATGTAGCAGCTTCGCCACCTAGTCTTACAGTATTAATAATTAAAAATTAGCCTCAGATCGATTATAAATTATGATGATTAGCAATTAACCATTACAGTTTGTGATAATTATAATCCTTATAAAGTTAGCACTATAAATGTGATTTAATCAATTTAATCAAAAATCATAATGTAATTATTTTATAAATCCATTTAAAGTACTAAATGATTGATAGCAGCCTCAAGTTTTAATCAAGATTACAGTCACTAGATATATTTAAATCTAGAAATAAGAATCAAGTTTTATTTCAAAGGATTATCAATGCTTTACATGTTACATGTTTAATCAGATTACATATTTGGTCTTTAATTAATATTATATAATCATGCAAGTGTATGTGATAAAATATTCAGTGATTAAGAGGAAAATGTAGAATGATGATCAAATGTCAAAATAAATTAACAATGATTAAATGCAGCTAACAAACAAATTCTTTATTAAAGCCTTTTGCTATTTCTTTGAAGATCACTGATTATCAATTATTCAAGCCAGCAAAAAGATGTTTAGTAAGTACCAGCTCTGTGTAATTTTATGATAATACTAATCTTATTTCTATATTAAAAAGAATACAGAATGTATAATCTTTCTGTATTCTCAATATCAAATTGATCTAAAACAACTAACCTAAAATGTAAAGAATAGAATTCATAGTCGCGTCCAGATTCTGAACACAAAGAGAGTAATAATACCAAAATAAGTAAGGTAGCACTAAAAACTACAGTATACAAAGAAGTATAACCTTTGAATTCATGTGAAAAAAATGCAAATAAATTGTTAGTATAAATAAATCAAGTGAAAAAAAGAAAAATTAGAAAAAGTTGCCTTTTTTAAAGCCTCCAAGCTTCCAATTAATAAAAAATCGAAGATTCTTTATTGAATTCGCATTATAAAATCGATCAGATAAAACATAAAAAGAGATTGTATAAAATTATAAAAGCATAAAAATTTAATTAATAAAAATATTTTCATCTCAAGTTTTTATAATTTGAGAAGAATTTTCTTATCTTTTTTTTAGTATTTCATATTTACTATATGAGTTTTTCGAATAAAGTTGCATAATTTTTATCTATAACAAAATTTATTAGTTTATTATTGTTATGAATCCATTTCCAGCTATGATGTTAGCTAGTTCAACTACATCTTAGCCAAAAAAGCATGGTGGAAGAAAAGGTAGACATTATCTTACAAAGTATATTATTACTACTGATGAATATGTCAATCTACAAAAGCCCAATGATAAATATTGCTATTGCTTGGCCTGTCACAAAATAAATTCAGAAAAAGTTAAAATCATTAATAAACAAAAAATTAGTAAAAAATCATCTTAAAAAGTGCATATATTTTATGTGTAAAGTTGGTGGAAAAAAACAAGTCAATAATATTTTGAATAAAGAAGAATCTGAAGAATCTTCAACAAAGAAGTTATGATTGGATTATGAAGATGGTAAATTATATATTTTAGTATTATAATATTCTGTTATTTTATAATAATTCAAACAAATATTATTTAATTTAGAATCTTCTGATGAAAATAAGAGTTTAACTACCTCAAAAGTTAAAAATAAAAAAATAGACCATTTTCTTGCTCATATACCAACCTTTTTAGAACAAGCTCAATTTGAAGATCAAAATTTAAATATTACAATAACAAATGGTTGGTCATTTCAGTGAATAGAAGATAAAAGTATCATCGAGCATTATCATTGGTTGAATCCTCACTTAGTGTTACCTAGCAGAAAACAGTTAGCTGGACATATTTTAAAGTCTGCAACTGAAACAAACAAATCTTATATACAAGATAAAGCACGTAATGACTCACATGGAATTATGATTGCTTTTGACAGTTGGAAAAATGTAATAAATCAAGAAATCTTAGGCTTAGTACTAATAATGTCTAATGGTAAACGTTAGTATGAAATGTAATTGATATTAGTAAACGATGAAAAAAATATAAAGATATAATGGAAATGACTGAAGAAATATTTAGAGAAATTGATGCATTAGAAATAAAAATTAACAGGCTTGTAACAGACAGTGATGCAGCTTATGCTGCTTCGAGGTAATATTAAACTATTCTATAAATAAATATATATTAGAAATATATTAATACTTTTTTTTTATTATAGATGTTATCCTTCAGCACAACCAACTGCTTATTGATGGACCCAACAAACTTACACTTAACTTTAAAATTATACAACTTCTACAGCACTTGGGCATTTCAATTT